ATGCTTTTTCCCATTCATCTATCCATCCATCCATCCATCCATGCATCCATCCATCCATCCATCCATCCATCCATCCATCCATCCATGCATCCATCCATCCATCCATCCATCCATCCATCCATCAATGCATATAACCATCCATTTATCCATGCCTCCATCCATCCATCAATCCATCCTTCCAATGATCCATGCATCTGTCCATCCATCCATTTATGCATTCAGCAATCCATCCATCCATCCATCCATCCATTCATGCATTTATCCATCTATCCATCTATCTATCCATCTATCTATCCATCTATCCATCCATACATCCATACATCCTTCCATCCATGCATACATCCATCCTTCCATCCATCCATCCATAATTACATGTATCTATTCATCCATCTACCCATGCATCCATCCATGCATCCATGCATCATGTATCCATCCATCCATCCTTTCATCCATCTATCCATCCACTATCCATCATGCATATATTCATGCATCCATCCTACATCCATCCATGCATATATCCATTCATTCATACATACATACATACATACATACATATATACATGCATTCATGCATCCATCTATCCATCCATGCATCCATGCATCCATCATCCTTCCATCCATCATCCATTTATCCATCCATCCATTCATGCTTAAAATTTGATGTTAACTTTTTGTCACTGATGGTGTTTCTTGGTTGATTCATGTATATTTAGATAATTTAGTTTTATACAGGGAAAGACTTCATGTAGGCTCCATTAGTTTTTGCCTTTTCTTACACTGCAGCTTCTATCTGGACTCTTATTTTGCAGGTTTATTATATGTGCATATAAACAGATTGAAAATAAATTTTAACAAGACTGTGGAAGTCAACTTTGTCTTTTATCAAAATCTATTCTATGAATGAAACTTTTGCAATGTAATTATTGGATTTACATCAATGCATGAACACAGTTTGAAGCCATACCAATTAAATATGGCTATCACAGCTAATCAACTTTACCACACAAACAAAATGTATATGACTCAATCAGTGGCTGAGATTCATTACTAGATTGTGCATAACATTTTTTCAGATGTAACTAAAATGACTACAACTATATCCCTTCTCTTCCTAAGATGATCTAAGGTTAAAACTCTAACATGAAAAATTGTAAACAAAATGCATTCCCTCAACAAACAAACAAAAAAAAAAAAAAAAAAAAGACTGGACCTTTATTTGTGTTTTTAGCAGCAAAATTAACAATATATTTCAGTTTTGCTATGTGGGATTTTGGAGCAGTTTTAAGCAAAACTAAACGTTTAAAAGGATAATATTCTAACGTTACCTCCAAGAGTCTGTAGTAGGACAATAGAGCTCAACACTGTCCAAATGATTGAGTTCACATTGCCCACCAATGGCATACAGTTTTTGATCCAGAACAACCACAGAGAAAGAGCATCTCTTTTCTTGCATTTCACTCAGGTTCTCCCAGCTGTCTTGAAGGGGGTCATACCTGCAGATGTTGTGTAAAAAGACAAATGGAACACAAAAGCAGCATGTATTTTGCATTTTTAGATGTTACACTGTCTCACCTATAAGTGGAGTTTAAGGTGTCACCATTGCCATAATACTTCTTCCCTCCGAAGATGTAGAGTTGTTCATTCAGCACAGCCACCTCATGACTAAACCTTGCTGGCTCTGGCATTGCTCCCAAACTTCTCCACTCTATTGCCTTTTGGATTCCTGTAAAACTTTTTAATGAATTCCCAAACCAAAGCTGTCTGCTAATGCTGCGGCCACCCAGGTCTTCAGAGATCTGGTCTCCACCAATTAAGACCAAATTCTCTTTGGGTAGATAGATCCGACACTGGTTCTGCAGTGCAGTTTGAGTGGAGCAGAACTCCTCGAGAACTGTTTCGTATAGCCCAGCCAAGTTGTGATCACGCCACATGTCTTGAGACTGGACCTCTTTAAACTCTTCAAAGGTCATCAGGGGAAAATGGACAGTTTTCATGAGCTCTTTGGCAAGCTTTTGCCTTACATTGGGCTTTGCTTGAATCCATGCTACTACTGCATTGAACACAACAAGCTCAGATGGAACGCAAAGTGAGCAACTGTTCAGGTACTTAAGGAGCTGTCTGCCTGGCAGGTCCTTGAACTTCAAGGTGCATGCCACCTTTTGGAACTGCCTCAAGACAAAATCATCTGCTGCTTCGAGAAGATGTGCCATTCCATACGCTTCAGCAAATGACACCACATCCAGACAAGTGTGAGGTGTTATTTCTTGTTGAAGGAAGTTAAGGCACAAGGTCAAGGCAGGCTGGTACTGGAGCTGGATAGCTGCACTGGTGAGCTCAAAAATGCTCGTCCAGCTGAGGGGAAGAGACCCTTTGTAGGAACTACCAATTAGAACTTCAAGATCTGAAGCCAGCAGGAAAGGAAGGCTCACAGAAGCCTGGAAGGATTCCTTCATGCCCAAGGTGAACATCCCACGGAAGTAGTCACTACTGACAGCCAGGATGACTCTGTGGACTAAACAAAAAATGATGAGAGGAGCGCAACTAACATGTCCAGTAGGTGTGGTAAGTTTTTCAAACAAGGATTTTGTTGGTATACCAATTAATTTGAGAGAAATGTAACCTTGTGAGTTTAAGGTCGTTTTCACACCAGATAGTCCGGTAGACTCGGTTCGGTTCGGGACCAATATTCATGACCTTTTGTTACATTTGAGCTGGTGCGTTTGCATTCACACTGCACTGTGCAGTCGAGTCAACCTGTTGAACCAACCTATTCCCCCGCTCGCCTGTGGGGGCGCTGCACCAAGAACTACTGAAAAAAATGACACAAAAACCTCTAAAGACACGTCTTTTTCTTCTTCTGTAAATAAAAATAAAAACGAAGTGGCATCAAGTTTTAGCAGTTTTAGGAGTTATATTTTGTCATTTTTCAAAAATGGACTTAGCATGAGCAGAAGATGAGACAGAAGACCATGGAGAATATTGTTTTTCACACAAGGCAGCTGACGGCTCCATATAAGGTCAGAGAAATGCGTGTTTGTTTACCCTGCGGAGCGGGTCCGGTCTGTTTACATTCACACTGTACTCGAACCACGCTGGAGTTCGCTTCTACGGACCGAGACCTAGGTTTTAGCCCGGGCCAGAGTTCGCCTTTTTATTCCGTGACAGAGTTCGATGATGCATTCACACCTCCTCAAACGAACCGGACTTTCTAGGAAAACGAGCTAGAGTTCGATTAAAGCGGACTAAACAGGGCTGGTGTGAATGCACCCTAAATATCTGTAAAATTACCTGAATCAAATGGTTCTGTTTGATAAGTTTTATTAGACAAGGTTGCCATTATATAAAAAAAACAACATGGCTCTCGTCTTTGGCAGCTCAGAGTATGGCATTTAACACCACATGGTCTTTACATGTGTCTTGTGTGTTGACGTGATCTAATTTCAATTTACCACTTGGTATACTGCTAAAGCATTGCATTATTTCTGTTAGCAATTCAGTAAATGGTCTGATTTTGTTACTCTCCAAAATACCTACTTCAATGATCTAAGTATAAATCAAGATTTCTGTATGCAGATTTTATTTGATCTTCGTTGTATTACTTTTTTTGTTTAAAATAAACCATATATTTTGTGTACCACAAGTCTGTTTTACTTTTATCTCATTAAAAATTATCAGGCCAAATTGTCTTCCTTAATCAAATTCCTAAACAGATAACAATGAAAACATTATGAATAAAATTAATATTTTCACCACAAAACTAATGCATTATCATTGATTAAAATAGTCTTATTTAAAGCAGGATAGATGGGCTGTTGTTTTTGTTTTTTTGTAAATTAAATTAAAGTGCTATGTGTTCTCATCACTGTATGTTCCCATACAATGGCAAAACTAGTTCGCTGCGTTTAACCCATCGCCCCTGGGATACACCCAGGAGAAGCAATGGGCAGCTAAGCGCCCAGGGAGCAATTAGTAATTGGGTGTCTTGCTCAGAGGCACCACTGGGTGTGGGGATCGAGACTGGGACTTTCGGGTCCCAGGTCGGCTGCCCTGCCTCTACCCCATCTTGGCCCACTTTTTAAAAATCAGAATTATTTTATTACAGAATTGGCTGCATAAAATTCACTGAACGAGTTCCTACCATGAAGAGATCCACCAAGAGCTTGCAGAACCACATCGCAGCCCGCTCTGTTCATCCACAGCTGTTTGATGGACTGAAGACTGATCATTATTTGTTGTGCTGCAGAGATGTTTTCAGCCATACCATGTCCCCCAGCTTTTATTGGTAGCTCTTTTTTATTGGCAAAAAGGTCCAACACCCGTGGGGCACCCAGTGTTTGAGCTGCAGCTTTTATCTGGTCCATGTGCTCGTTCAAACATGATATGAGTCCAGTGTATGCAAACTCGACAATCGCCTCTAATCCAACATAATCCACTTCTGGACCAAGAGAGAGTAACCACTTGTGAACTCCTGCACTTCTGTCCGTATCTCTTCTCATGTCCACTTTACTATATGTTATGTTTCTGTTCATGTTCTTCCAGATTAGCGAGCTGACAGCAGCCAGGACCAAAGAGTGCACACATAAACTCCTCCCATCTACAGTGTTCAGAGTAAGGTCAGTGAGGATGGAAGAATCCCTGAACTTGTTCAAGGCAAGGAATACCCTTGTGGGATGATCATCTGTACAGAAAGTTTTTACCTTATCATCATCACCATCATCAACCATTGTGCAATGAACTTCCTCATGGTCTGAAAACTCTTTTTCTTGTGGGTTTTCATCAAACACTTTTTGAGTTGCCAAAGACTTTGGAACTGTTCTCTCATCACCTATTAATTTGCTACATCCATCATCTTCAATCCTGTCTCCAACGATCCTGGATTCAAATCCACAACAGCCGTTTTGCCATAATGGATCATCTCGTTCAATAGAATCTTCATGCTGGTTCTCAACTTTATTACTGGATCTTGAGTCTTGACGGTCAAATATTTCCACTGAACCTGACAGGTTTCCCTCCTTTTCCCTTCTTATATCTTCTTGTTGTCTACTTTCTTTTTGTTGATGCATGTTTTCAGCTTGAATTCTATGTATCTCTTCTCTGAGGTGATGTCTTCCATTTTGTCCCTGATGCTCCTCTTCTTCATCAACTACATGAATGAAGACCTCATCTTCCTCAGTTTCTTCCATATCCACCTCTAGCTTTCTTTCCACATTATCCCCCCAATCTTCTTCCGTCCTAGCGTTCTCTGTTTTATTATCCCACTCATACACTTCATCATCCCCTATAAATAAGTCATGCTCATCTTCTGCTTCTCTTTTATTTCCTTCAGTAAGATCCATGTCTTTCTCTTTATTAAGACTTTTCTCAAGATCTTCATCAGTTTGTACAATTATTCCATCTTGACCCTTATCCATATTTTCCCCAACTTCATTTTCATTGTCTTCCTCTTTTAGATCCTCGTCCTTGTTGCTGATCTCTTCAACTTCCTCCTCTTCCCAATCAGACTTGGTCAGTTGGCTCAGCCTCTCCGTGCAACATTTTCTCCTTCTCTCCTTGATCTTTCTCCTCCAATCCCCCCAGTCGTTCTGAAAGCATGGTTTATCTGATGCCATATTACTTTGTTCCAGTTCCTCAAATCTGTAAAAGCTCTTTACACCTGAAATATTGCAGATCCTTCACATTTTGCACAGCTTTTGATGAAAAGTGTCCTCACAGTTGCAGATCATGTGTGTCCAGTTGTAAAGCTACAATTGGATGTTGGACTTACTGCTGAAAGTATAGCAACTTTTCTAATCCCGTCTGCTGCAGGGCTGTCTATTTCCTCCTCTTTGGTCTCTCTCTCTCTCTCATTGTAAGGGAAGGTGGAAGGGGCACAAGTTCCCACGATTCCTCATGTAACCAAACAACCTGCTACGTACAGTGTAATATATCACATGCCAGCGTATATTTTAGGACCACAAAATTGTCAAGCAGACACTAAACAAGTCTTGTAAATGGACTTAAAGTGATTACATGCTTTTACTACTCATAATTTGTACTTGCAGGTACTGTACTGTAATTCATTTTCTTTTCTTTACTTCTTCTGCTTGTTCCCATGCCTTTGAGGTTTATGGTTTGTCACAATGACACATTATGTTTTTCATTGATAATGATCATTGTGTTCTTCAGGGAACCCACATTTCTGTATGTTATCCAGTAAAATTCACCCAAGCAACAAATAAATATTCTGCTGGTTCATTGCCCATTTAAGTCCATAAACAACGACAGCTCAAGAGGCCTTGGCAGGCATTTCTACTTTTGCACATACAACTTGGGGATTGGTGACAAATGCCTAGAAGGTCACTGGTGGGATCATGTTGCTCCTCCACAGCCAAACACAGTGGAATTTGGGTCAGGGGTGCTCCCTGGGATAAACGAGGCAACAAAAGTTAAACATAGAGCACCTGTTGACTTGTCTTTTATATGAATTTTGAAAGCAACCATTTGGGTCTCGATGTAACCCGAGTCATAGATCAGAAGTAGTTGAAAAATTTTCAATTCAATTCAACCTCGACGACTCATTTACAAGAGAGACATGTTTAGCCCGCTAAATCCCCTAAATGTGTTCTCTGTTAATGTGCTGTTAAAAAATCCAATCACATCAGATACATTGGATTTGAAAAAAAAAAGTCAACAATAGTTTAGTAGTTTAGTCAACTTTACTAGTATAATCAGGTGTGTTGGAGCAGGGAAACATCCATCCATTATCTTTTACCCGCTTCGTCCATTTTGGGTCACTGGGGTCGCCGGTGCCCATGTCCAGCAATCATTGTGCGTGGGGCAGGGTACACCTTGGACAGGTCTCAAGTCCATCACAGGGACACATGGAGACAAATGAGACAAACAACCATTCACTTTCACTCATACCTAGGGACAACTGAGAGTTAAAAATCAGCCTAACATGCATGTTTTTGGTCTGTGGAAGGAAACTGGAGTACCCAGAGAAAACCCACACATGTATGGAGAGAACATGCAAACTCCACCCAGAAAGGCTCCCGGACTCTGATTTGAACCAGCAACCTTCTCGCTGAGAGGCGGCAGCTCTACCAGTTGTGCCACTGTGCTGCCCAGCAGGGAAACAAGTAAAATTGAATTCAATTCACAAATACTTTATTACATGTTTTAACTCGTTATCCTCATTTCATTAAGAGATGTTATAGATAGTGATGGCTGAAGGCAGGAAGGATCTCTTACGAAAGTCCTTCCCACAGCAGATCTGAAGAAACTGGCCGCAGATGCCGTCTGATCCATCTACCCAGACTCAGCTGGCCTCTCAGTTCCTCCATGCTGCAGGACCGCCCGAATGCTGGGCAGAACTCCTCCCAGAGCAATGGTCACTCCTCCCAGCAGCCTGCTGAGGTCCTCGTTGCTGTAGACAGCTGGCTGCAGGTGCCGAGGATGATCCTGGTCCTTCTGCTGTTACAAGCCATGTTTCCTGCCTGTTCCAGGATCTCAGTGGTCAGGCACTCGAGCACAGCCGGCAGGGAGATGGGAATGCATCCACATCACCTCCTTTTCAGTTCATTTGAGATTAGGGGCTAGAGTTGCACTCTGGTCCAAATAATCCGAACCGACCCAGCCCGCAGCCATCATCTCCGAACCCCACCCAATCCGACGAATTAACAGTAATTATAGGTCCGAACCCAAAAGAAAAAACAAAATTTTTAATTAAGCTTTGACTACTTATACCATCGACTATTATTAACGGTTGGCAGACATGCACGGCTGAGCAAAGGGGGCAGAAGATCGGATCTGATGAGCTGTCAAAGTGCATTAAACGCTTCCCATGCTTCTGCCTGCATTGAACCCTGCTCTGAAATGTCAGATATTTTGTGATCTCACCTGTTTGGGTCTTGGACGCGCACGTCCACTGAGTGCAGCGGCTGAATGAATGTTCATTTGGGCTGGTGGATTGCTGGCAGTAGTCCATATGAAACTTAATTGAACTTTTTACCTCTTTTGACCAGACGGTCAGTGAACGGTCAAATGGCTGCATGCAGCCGAGTGCAGCTGGTGATTGTATGTATGGCAAGCCATGTTTGCATATATTTGATCGTCGGCTGCGTGCATCCTTGATGCAATAAAAAGCCTGACATTGACCAGGCCTACACATTAAGCACATTATTATGGCCCGGCCCGGTCCAAATCTGGGTCGGGCAGGGCCGGGCTCTGGGTTTTGGTTAGAAATGACAGCTCTATTTGGGGCTGTAGCTGAGATATTATTTTGAGGTGTTAATCAGCTACTACCGGTTGTAAAAAAAAAAAAAAACACACCTTGTTGCCATGGTTACAAATCATAACAGATGTCCAAACCTAAAAAGAGTTTCAGTAAAAATCCTTCCAGCTGCACAGCATCCAACACCAGAGGAAACAATCATCCAAAAAAAATGTGATTTACATCCTGAGAAAGAGGAATTAAAGTTTCAAAAGCAAAATCTCAGAATGAAAGTAACAGAGCTGCTCCAACATGCAGCCACCTTGAGCGGCGCAATTCTAGAACAACTAAAGGTCAAACCTTTAATACTCTCAAACATCCATCCATCCATCCATTATCTTTACCCGCTTATTCCATTTTGGGTCACGGGGGTCGCTGGTGCCCATGTCCAGCAATCACTGTGCGAGGGGCGGGTACACCCTGGACAGGTCACAAGTCCATCACAGGGACACATAGAGACAAACGAGACAAACAACCATTCACTTTCTCGTTCACACCTAGGGACAATTTAGAGTTACCAATCAGCCTAACATGCATGTTTTTGGTCTGTGAGAGGAAACCAGAGCACCCGGAGAAAACCCACGCATGCACGGAGAGAACATGCAAACTCCACCCAGAAAGGCCCCTGGACCGGGGTTTGAACCAAGGACCTGCTCGCTGAGAGGCAGCAGCTCTACCAGTTGCGCCACCGTGCTGCCACTCTCAAACATAAAAAACACTAAAAATACTTTTTTTAAAAATCATAAAAATACTCTCAAACATGTTGGATAGCAGCCCTCAAGGAGCAAGGATTGCTACCATTGTGCTAAATTAACATGAAATCACTTTGCATCAGCTTAAAGAGCCCAGAGTTTATCTTTTCAAATGCAGGTTGCATCATTTAATAAGCTGGCCTGGGGTCAGACCTTTGATGATACTATCAGAGGAAGGACTGCTTCTGTTCTCCAGATGAGAAGTGTGCCCCCAAAGTGTTAGAAGGCTATCCCATCAGGGGAACGTTTTTACTTTCACCTCTCTCAACTTAATATTAGGCAGCATTCTGATAAAACTAGCTGTAGCAAATATCAAAGAGCTATATGAATAAAACCATTTAAGGTAAAAGTTGTTGATAAAACAGTATTTGTATGAGCTGAGTTGTTTTAAGCAATCCATTTAACAGCACTCAGATGAGCTGTAAGTTCATCACTCTTGTCAACAACAATAAGTAAGATAATAAATGTTTATAATCTTTCCGCAGAATCCCACTTTCAACAGGTTTGAACTCATTTTTAAGACTAAAAGAAAATGAGGCAATTTGTAAAGAATGAGCTTCGTAGTCCTTCTGTCCATAATGAGCCTTCTGAGTCCTTCTTTAAGTTTATGCTAATTTACTTTTTTCTTCAGAATTTTTTTGAAAATAATTGGAGCAATGCTTCCATTTGGTTTTCTCACTGTGAGTCTTTCATGAAATTAATTGTACTTGAGGTTTAAAGC